GAACAACATGGGGAAAATCAGGAGTGACTTCCTGAAGGAGGTAACAATTACGTTAGCTGTGCAAGCTGGGTAAGATCTTAACAGAAATTTGGAAAGCAGAGCAAGAATGAAGAAACGACTAGAAGAAAATAAAAGGGTCCAATGGTATTGCGTAAAGAGTAAAGACACTGCCTGTGGTACCTGCATCCCTTTTGAGTACCTGTTGAAGTTGGCTGCTCCATTTCCAGTCCAGCTCAATGTTCATGGACTGGGAAAGCGGTGCAAGGTGGCCTAAGTGCCTGGGTCCCTGCTACCCACATTTGAGATTGGGCTAAAGTTCTTGGCTTTGATATGTATGGCCCTGCCCAAGCCAGTCAGGGCATCTGGAGAGCCATCTATGTTCCTCAGTTGTGTAACTCTTTCAAATAAATAACCCTTAAAGAAAAGGATGCTGCGAAGTGGTGATGGTGGGGGCATTATGTTAATATAGCCTAAGATGGGAGAAAGTTGGAAAAGACTGGGATTGTTTTTTTAAAAGATTGGTTAATTGTATATGGAGCAATAGGTAATAATTATATTTGTCCATAAGAAATCTGCTAAGAAATGAGAGAATGTATTTGAGCAGCGTACACGGCTCCAGAAATACGACATTCAGAAAGCAGAAAGGCGCAGAATGGGAGCAGCAGTCCCACCACGGAGGGGCACAAGGTGGTACAGGAGTTGGGCACCTCAGGGTCCAACGGGTAGGGATGAAGCAAATCAAAATGTTTAAAAACCCAAAGCTCAGGTCCCCAAGGCAGCAAGCAGCTACTGCCCAAGTCCTCTGAGGCTTGGAGGAGTGCCCTGTGGGCAAGCCCCGAGCTTGTGACCTTGTCCCTGCCTGCGCACTCTGACTTGGACCACTTTCACTGGCATTCCTAGGGAAGTGACCTTCAAGCCCACTGATCCCGGAGTGGTGAATCCGAGGTTTGGGAGAGCCTGTGCTTAAAAGCTCCCGTTGTGTGCTTCCAGTTGGCTGGTTTTCTTTTTTGAAACTTCTAGAACCCACACCAAACACTGGCTGAGGGAGGCCTTCGGTACTGTTGAGAAGTCAGAAAAGGCTTCTGCTATAGGCAGTGTGTGGACCTTAGGAAAGATTCTCTTACAGCACATAGGTTGTTCCTTACAGCACATAGTCCTGTAGAACAAATCAAAGGGAGCCACACCACTTTCCTAAGGAAAAACCCAAATCTGCGGAAAAGTTGTAGGCAGGATCCTAGCTAAAAAATTCAGTCTTCGAGCCCGGCGCGGTGGTGCAGTGGTTAAGGTCCTCACCTTGCACACCCGGGATCCCATATGGGCGCTGGTTCTATCCCGGCAGTCCCGCTTCCCTTCCAGCTCCCTGCCTGTGGCCCGGGAAAGCAGTCGAGGACAGCCCAAAGCTTTGGGACCCTGCACCCGCGTGGGAGACCCGGAAGAGGCTCTTGGCTTCGGATCGGCATAGCATTGGCCGTTGCACTCACTTGGGGAGTAAATCATCGGACTGAAGATCTTCCTCTCTGTCTCTCCTCTCTGTATATCCACCTTTCCAATAAAAAAATAATAATAAAAATAAATCTTTAAAAAAAAAATATTCAGTCCTCGACCTTGGATGCCTCCTCTCTCACGTTTCCTGTTCTATCTCCTCCAGTCCTCATGGCCCATCCTCATTCTCGCACAGGGTGCGCAATATGGATGCTGACAAAAGCAGATCTTGTCTGTCACACACTGGCCATGGACTGACACAGCCACTGGGAATTTTGCTATTTCTAGTTTGTGCTTACATCCTTTGCCTGACTTTGTCATCATCTTCTTTTACTACTTTAAGCATCTGTGAGAATAAAGAACTTAACGTCTTCTTGGTCTTTGTCCCGTCCTGCAGGACAGTCAACGAGGGCTGCAACCAACCTAGGAGAGAATGAAGGGACAAGAGACACGAAGAAATGACAGCAAGACAGGATGTCTGGTCAAGCTGTTAGTTTATTGATTTCAACTGAGGGTTTTTATATTCTTCAGTCACTAAGGCTCAGGGAGAGAAGGAGAAACTAGGATGCAAGCCATGTCTCAAGACCAATTGTTCTTGAGCAGACAAGAATATCAACCATAGTAACCACCATATCAACAATAGTGTAGGCAACCAGGAACAGGATGTCGGCAGGTACAGCATAAATCACATTCTGAAACAGTTGCTAGAAACAATTGAAGCTAAGCATGTGATTAGTTTCATAACCTCTTTCCCAAGCATCTAGCCAACCGGGGGTTTTGCACTGTCCCATAGTTCTATATTCAAAATGACTTCAGTGTGGCTACAGTACGCGGCTCCTGACAGGTCTTTTCCAACATTACTCTATTGATTGAATACATTAATGCTTGTTTACGTTCCCTTGTAAATGCAGTTACTATTCAACGTACGAGTCTTTATTATCTAGCTTGTAAAAGAAGACAAAAGAAAATCAATGTAGAGAAGGTGACAGTTCTTGAAATTTCCTGATGGAAGTTAAGAATTTATTACAGCGTGGAAAGCTGCAAAAACAATGGCCGCCACCTCTCTACCCGAATCTCTCTAATCAGAAACAACTGGTGATCAGAACACAGTGCCTCAGCATGGAAGAGAGGACGCTCACTGCCCTCCGTGGTTCCCACTTTCGTACAGGATTCTCTTGCAACATCTTGAGATGGGCTGCTCCTGGAGGACATGGTCAGAGGCAGGGACTAAAACTGTCTTCTGTTTACCAAAGACTTTTTTAAATTGCAAGCCTTTATTAGAATTTAGAATTCCAAAATGACCTTGCGAAACAGAATCTTTTAGTGCAGTTGTTTTCGTGGAGGGAAGACAGATTATAAATTTCAAGGGTGACACACACAAAAAAGTGGGAGCTCTGAAAACTAAGGTCTGTTTCTGGCTTTGCTGGATTAAAGAAGATTTGTCTAAACTTTCTCATTTTGCAGTCAATAATTTTGGAGAAGGGGAGAAGAGACTGCTTCGATGTTTGACCTACACCTTCAAGTGATAGAAATATGTTTCAGGGAAACTCTATATTCGGTACCATTAGTGGGCGTTACATTCACCATTGTGATTCATTTTAATCCCCGTTTTTCGTGGTTTGGTTTCCTTTGTAGTTTTTTTTTTTTTAAGATTTATTTTTATTATTTTTTTAATTGGAAAGGCGGATATACAGAGAGGAGAGACAGAGAGGAAAATCTTCCGTCAGATGATTCACTCCCCAAGTGAGCACAACGGCCGATCCGAAGCCAGGAGCCTCTTCCGGGTCTCCCACGCGGGTGCAGGGTCCCAAAGCTTTGGGCCGTCCTCTGCTGCTTTCCCAGGCTACAGGCAGGGAGCTGGAAGGGAAGCGTGGCTGCCGGGTTAGAACCGGCGCCCATATGGGATCCTGGGCGTTCAAGGCGAGGACTTTAACCACTTGTGCCACCGCGCCGGGCCCATAGTTTTGAATTATATAAAAATTTAATGTTATCTTGCCTCTTGGAGTAAAGGTGTTCTCCGTATCTAGTTATAGAAAATCCAGTGTTAAAATGATTGGTTGGGTCTGCATTGTCACATAATGGATTAAGTTGCCATCAGCAGCACATCGCAAAGGGATGCTTTAGCTTCTCCATTTGCCATCTAACTCCAGTGAATGCGCCTGAGAAAGCAGTGAAGGATGGACCCCAACTCATGGGCCCTACACCCACCCAGGGCACATGGATTAAATTTCTACCTCCTGGCTTCAGCCTGGCCCAGCCCCAGCCATTGAGGCCAGTCGCGGGCGTGAATCAGTAGTTGGAGGATCTGTTTCTCTCTCCTATCCACTTTCTGTAGCTCTGCCTTTCAAGTAAATCCTTAAAGAAGAAGAAGAAGAAAAATATGAACATTCCAATTACATCTAGGAAATATTTTTGCTTTTTACCAACTTATTTTTGTCTAGCTCAGAACGGATACTCTTAAAATTTTGTCAACTGTAGCGTCAGTTTAAACTTTATCTTGCTTTTTTTTAATATACATAAAGACATTTAAGGAGGATTTCAGAAAACCCTAGTGTACAATGTTGAGAACAAGAGCAAACATTTTTCCAGACATTTACCAGCAGGTAAGTCGCCACTTAAGGACACCGGCAGCCTTTATCTGTAAGCCTGATTGGAGTTCTAGTCCTCTCTTTATCCAACTTCTCGCTAACAGCACGCTGGGAGGAAGCAGAGGACGGCTCTGATACCCACTTGGGGAAATCACTTGATTTCCTGGCGCTGGGCTTTAGCCTGGAGTACAAGAGCACAGGTTTGTTCCTTCTCTTTTAAGGAAAATGGAAGGGGAGGGGCGCTGGGAGGAGAAAGCCTATTTCCATTGAATCAGTTTTGATTCAGAAGAAACAAGCCGAGAGCCCCAAATATGTCAATGACTTAACGATATGCTTATTCAGTAGCGAAATCTAAGATTACTTTTTGATGCTAAAGGGGAAGAAAATAAAATATTTTTCTAGAAGTTGCCCTAACATTTCTCAAATCTGGTGAGTCAGCTACACACAAGAAAATTCACAGCCAAGACACCTTCGTTGTCAGTGAAAACGCGAAACCCGTGGGTAACATGAATTTCTTCGTTGTTTCCGTAGAAACCGTTAGCAGACGAGTCTTGAAAGCATGGGACTCCCGCCCGCTGCGGCAGGCGTGCCCAGGGCGCCATCTGCGCCTGCGCGGGTGTACAGCGCACACGTAGTCAGAGGAGCCCGGATGGAGGACACCGCGCCGCGCCGTTGCCATGGCAGCCCGCTCCCGGCTGCCGCCGGCGTAGCTGCCGGGGTCTTCTCTGCCTCCTTGTCAGAGCTTAGAAAGAGGAGGAGAGTTCCCCAGCCATCTCTGTGACCCCAGCCGCTGCGTCTGACACAGGCAGGAGGGCGTTCGGAGGGAGACAGGGAAGGAAGTGCGGAGATGCACACGGGGGAGAGCGGGTAGAGGGCACGCCGTGCGGGAAGCTGGCGGGTGGAGGAGCTGGGAGGCGCCTGCTCCCGGAGCCTCGCGGTGAAGGCAACTTGTGAGAGAGCTCAGCCACTGCGTTTTCTGTAACATGCTTTACACTCTCGCAGTTCCCCAACGGGGAGATCATAATTTCGTCTCCAGGAGTAAAAGTCACTCTTGAAATGTTTCCGTGAGGAGGCTATTACGGCTTTCCGTCTAGTTGGTGATGGCTTGGGAGTCTGAATAATTCAAGTGATGACCCAGTGTTTGTAAAAATATTATCTGTCTTCTTCCGTTGTAGCAAGTTGTAACTGAAAAAAAAATATCATCATAGGATCTCAGTCTGCACAGAGTACAACATTGAGAATACGCTAGAACGGTCTGTGGTTATTATGCACCGGTGGGTTAAATTAAAATGATGACTTTATTTTTGGTAGACAATTCTTAAATTTTAAACAAGTCTGTGGTTGTAAGGGTGTGAGACAAGAATAGAGCCAATGAATTAGGGTAAATTGTTTTCAGAGTGTTCTGAATTCTGCAGCAAGTTGGCAACATGATGTGCGCTTGACTTAGATCCACAATGAAAGATCTGTGGTTGCATATCCACGAGGGATTTACCAGACAGCCGGGAGGAAAGAATTAATTTCTGTTGCTACGGTTCCATTAGGCAGGTGGATCTAGCTTAGCGTGGGTTTTTGCTGATGATAACTTTTACAATTTAAATGTGCAAAGAAGTAATGAAGTAGGAAATAAAGAGTAGGTAATTTGGTCTGTGTGAAATATTTTTGCTCCAGTGGGCTGACTGCGTACCGTATGGACAGGAGTCGGGGATGAAGATTAAACCAGCTGCAGGTGTTGGAGATCCAGTGACGCATTTGAAATGGGATTAGTGACTTGGTAACAAGAGTTTATGATTTATGTTTATTTACGGAGTAGTCGTGAGGTGTTCTTTCTTAGGTTACAGGAAAAGAATTATACTTAAAATGTATTGAAACTTCCTTTGCCTCTCAGTTGCTTCAACTGTGGCTTCCTAAGTTATGACATATTGTCATGGATTGGTAACAGTGTGTTTAGCCTATAATCATTTTTCTTGTGTTGATTCCATGTTTGAGTTTTAAACTTAAGTTCTCCCATGGGTAGAGCTCTTTGTAAAGACTTACCATTCATTCACCAGTTCAGAGCTATGTCTGTTACAAAGAGAAAGCCCTGAGTTTTCCAACAAAGTGTTCTTCCAACAATTACATAATTTAAACATCTTAAAATCCTAAATTTTAGATTCCTGGTCTGAAAATGAATCTAATAACCCCAGGTTTTGTTTTTTTTTAAACTGTGAACAATAGTGCTGTTTCTGTAATTGTTTTGGAATACAATGAGTTTTTGGCCTGTGTCCTGAGTAGGCAGTGGTAAACCAGTGAAGCCAAGGGTTGACTTGGCTTCAACAGGTCATTTCAACTTGTTACTGCCCTCAAACTCTGATTTAGAAATTATTGAGGTCTTACTTTTGAATTGTTTGAAATTTCATTTTGCATTAGAAATCAATATCTAGAGTTATTTATAGTCCAATTGATACTTTAGAAATAACTGTCCATTTAATAATTACATGAATATTTAATTATTATATTGAGTTAATGTTCTATTCCTTCTAAAGTCCTTGATATATATACATTTTATCTACTTTTTTATTTCTGGTTTTTATTTAGCTTTGTCTTCTCTCATAGCCTGCAAATACCCAAGGGCATCAGTTTATTTCAGAAATCATTGCAGAAATGTTATTTACATATATTTGAATGAATATAGTAGGTATTTAACAAATGTTTGTCAAAATTGTGTTTTTTACATTTATGTTTATAGCTTTTATATGTTCACACACATACAGTCACATGATAAAGATTTTTCAGGTTGGGAACTGACCTTGAGTTAAAGATAACTCTAATTGAGTTGTTACATTATTTTTTAAAAATTTAGTTGTATATATTTATATATATATAAAATTTAGTTATATATATAAGTCAGGGTGATAGACAGGAAGAGACAGTGGCCTTAATGACAAGGTTTTGGGCCAGGCTAAAACCAGGAGACTGGAACTCCATTTGGGTCTCCCACAGGAGTGCCAGGGGCCTGGGCCGTCTTCGGGGCACCCAGGCACATGAACAGGAAGCTGGATTGGAAATGAAACCTCTGACACTCAGATCAGTGCTCCAATATAGGAAATGGTTGAGTGATGGCTTAGCTAGCTGCATACCACCACCAGCCCCAGCCTAGTTCTTTTATAAATGATGGTAAGTAGTCATTGCAGCTTCCAGCTCTCTTCAAAATTCCTGTGTTCCAGCACTTAGCCAGGTCTTTTAAAAAAAAAAAAGTAAAAAAAACTATTTTATTCAGGGTTGATCAAAATTGATTTCTGTGGAAGTCAACATTTAATGTAATTGAGAAGGAGGTGGTACTTCCTGAACGCTTCTCAAATCATACGTTATAAGTATGCCATGCAAATGACTAGGAGGATTGTGAAACTGGGAATAAGGATTGATACAATCATTTTTGTTTGAATCTCAGGAAAATGTGAATTGTTGAGATAAGCAGTTGAGTCATTTAGATTAGGTTTCTGGTAATTGATGGGGGAGGGGCGTGGGAAGGAATGAGACGGTCAGAGATGTCCACCTATGGAACTATCCTGCCATTGCACACCCTTCTTTCAGGGTATGTACAGATGTCTACTTATTTTTAACATTACATTCTTTTTGTTGCTGTTTCTTGCTTAAATTAGCCTCTATATCCGCTTATGAAGTAGACTTAACGTATACTTACCTTTTAAATTTTTATAGCATTACGCTTTAAGAAACAGAAAATGAATGAAAATACAGATTCTGAATCAAAAGAAAGTGGAGACTATGAAGATGACTTTGAAAAGGACCTGGAATGGTTAATTAATGAAAAGGAAAAAAGTGATGCCAGCATTATAGAGGTACATATATTGCCAACAGCATTCGTAATAGATTACCTTAACAAAGTGCTTTGCAATTTTTGAAGACTTTTACCTATAATATCTCATCTGAGTGTCACACAATTTTTTAAATGTTCAAGTGCATTTGGACAATTCAGACAAGTACAATTATACACCTCTTTTTAAATGAAAGCCCGGAGGTATAATGAGTTTAAATGTGTACCCTGAGGCTTAGGGCCAGTAAGTGAGAAAGCTGGTTATTAAATTATCACTTATTAAAGCTAAATTGATAATCATGAAGTCATAATTTAAACAATATAAAGAAGCCAAGAAATAATTTGTTAAAGGCAGAAAGAAATAATGAATTCTTAGTTTTTGTGAACTTAAATCATAGCATGATACTTTCTATGTAAGATTGAATTAGCTGCTTAGGGGAAATGAGAACAGAGAAAAAAAGTAACAGGCCAAAGGTAGGATATCAGAATTTCCAGGAAACTGTGGATTTATTAAATATGATCATGTACCGTTTATCAGAGATGTAGATGGCAAATACAGGACAATGAGCCAGTCCTTGGATCTTTGTAGTTTCTTTCTCTTTTCGTGTGTTGGTATCTGTGTATAACGTACAGGTGTACATATGTGTGTGTATGATGTTGATACCGATAAATGGGAAAGTAGTGAAGAAAAAGGACCAGGATTGGGATATGACTAGATCATTAGGGACAGTGATCAGAAGAGTCACCTGGCAGAAGCCCAGTTTAAGAGAGATAAGGAAAGGAAAGTGAGGAAACTTTACATCACAAACTTCCTTTTGTTACATCTTGCTTTGTTATGCAGTGGAGGAGACAATGGAGTGGATGCTATTTTAAAAAGGAGACGAAAGTGAAATTTTGTCTGAGGTGGCTTTTCAACAGGAGTTTAATGCCATCTGAGCAGAACCATCCATGTTAGTGGAGGCAGAGATAATCTGGAGTGGTAAGGCTGAACCAAAGTGTTACAACTACAAGGATGTGAAATCCAAAGCATAACAAGACAGAATTTAAAACACATGAACGATGATTTGTTGTTTTTTCTCTTAGTCACTTAACAAATATTGATCATCACCTACCAGATATCAGAGGCGGTCTGTTCTGAGGGTGCCTCAGAAAGTGAGCAGTCTTCTGTTGAATTTGTATAGACTCCAGTGGAGGATTTCAGTAATTTTTTTCTTTAATACTGGTGGTAAAAAGGTGTGATGGTGCTGGGGGTCAGAGAAGAAGGTCAGGGAAAGATTTATTTATTAAAAAGTGTACTTTAAAAAGAAAAGAGGTGAATGACAAAGTGCTGTAAGAATCAATATGAGGGCCCTGCGGCGTGGCCAAGCGGCTAAAGTCCTTGCCTTGAATGCACCAGAATCCCATATAGGCACTGGTTCTAATCCCGGCAGCTCCACTTCCCATCCAGCTCCCTGCTTGTGGCCTGGGAAAGCAGTCCAGGATGGCCCAATGCTTTGGGATCCTGCACACATGTGGGAGACCTGGAGGAAGTTCCTGGCTCCTGGCTCATGATTGACACAGTATCCGCTGCTTGCGCTTACTTGGGGAGTGATTCCTTGGATGGAAGATCTTCCTCTCAGTCTCTCCTCCGCTCTGTATATCTGCCTTTGTAATAAAAATAAATAATAAATCGTAAAAAAAAAGAAAGAATCAATCTGTTAATCCAACTAGGCTAGAAAGGAACAATTGCAATTCTGAGGTTTTAATTAGTTATTTGCCAGTAATTTTCATGGGTTGGGTTTGTTTGCTTATTTAATATCTACCATCTTTTGTAGGTTAGGAAATCAGAACTCAATTGAAAGGAAAGTGATTGTAAGGAGTTGGAGAGAGCATAATGTGGTAGCTTTCACAGAACTGAGTAGTCTGAGAAAGAGGGAAAAATTACAAATTGGAGGATAAGGTGTCTAAAGGGAAAATGACTTTGTAGAGGGAAAGAGTTAAAAGATAGCTTTCCTTAGAGTAGGGTTTTGTTATACAGAGTGGGTTTATCTGGAATGAGATCCCTTTTGAAAGAAGAGGGTCAAGTTACCTGAGGGCAGTAGTGTGGATTATGGAAATTTCTGAATACAATGGAGGAAGGTAATCTAACCTACGGGTAAAAATTAACCTGCAGTTTGGCTGTTAGTCTTGCAGATCACAAAAGCTGTAGAAGTTTGAAAAGGTAGATGGAGCCTCAGATGGTTAGTACTTGATCACCTTGAAATGATTCTGGTAGGTTCTTTTTTAAAGAATACATGTATTATAAGGAGGATTTTTTTTTCTAGAAATATAAATGAAGAAACATAAGGAGGAATATTAAAAGAATATTGTCCTATTGGTAGTCATATTTGATATTTACTATTACATTTATGTATTAACATTGCTTTTGTTTATTAACATGAAATATTAACATTGAACAATGCTTACTAACATGTATTAACATACAATGAAAATTATGTATTAACATAAGAAGTATTTAGCTTTGCCAAATTCAAATTTAGTTACAGTTTGCTTGAGATATTTATGAGCAAGAAGCACTTAACATTTTAAGTTAAATCCAAGACTAGAAAAATTCACTCTGCATTGTCCACATACAAATGAATCAAGAGTCTCAGTTTTGTTGACAAACAGGACGTCATTTTTTCTAGATGGCTTGTGAGAAGGAAGAAAAGGTTATCCAAGAATCAAAAGAGAATGAAACAGAAGCAGAACACACCAGCCAGGTTTCTGATTATGACAGCTGTGTGAAGGATGAAGTTTCACTAAGAAGCAATGACTTCATTTCCGTACCAAGTATTCAACCCTTAGATGCAATCTCAGATACAGACAGTGAAAACTCCTTCCAGGAATCCAAACTGGAAGGCCAGAAAGAGCTGGAGGAAGATGAGGATGAGGAAGTAAGGAGATATATAATGGAGAAAATCATACAGGCTAACAAGATTTTACAGAGTCAACCTGTGAATGATAAAAGGGAGAGAAAACTGAAATTCAAAGACAAATTAGTTGACCTGGAAGTTCCCCCATTGGAAGAAGTTGACACTTACAAAAATTATTTTGACAATGAAAGTAATATGTATGGAAAGCTGTCACAATTATGTATTTCCGGTGAACTTGGACATGAAAATGTGCTCATGTCAGTTACTGATGGAAGCTGTGAAGAAAATAAGGATGGGAAGATACTGGTAGAGAGAGATGGAAAATTTGAACTTCTCAATTTACAAGACATTGAGAGTCAGGGATTTTTGCCCCCTATTAATAATGCTAATAATACAGAAAAAGAACCTCAGCAGTTGTCACTCAGGTCCTGTGACTCTTCTGTCAGTAGTGTCAAAAAAGAAGAGTCAGCATTGCTCATTCCTGCTGCCACTCACGCGTCAACAGGAGAGGGGCTGGCATACATCCCTCAGCCACCACCCAACCCCAGCGCTCGTCCAGGCTCTGTCGCCTGCTCAGACCGCAGCAAAGGAAGTTGGCGATCTAATCAGAGGACACAGTCTGCAAATGCATCTCCAGTGACCTCAACATACTGTCTCTCCCCCCGACAGAAAGAACTGCAAAAACAGCAGGAACAAAAGAGAGAAAGGCTAAAGAAGGAGGTAAGGACCTAAGTGGGCATTTATAATTGAGAGCAAGTTGGTTCCATGTCTTGCAGATGCAATTAGAATTAAGAACGATTGTACAAGTAGTGGAGGTTTTAGTTTGGTTACATTTTGTTTTTATTGTTAGATTAAATCTTAAAGAATGCTTGTTTATGGAATAAACACTGTAATTGTGCTGGCCCTTTGTGTAAGCATCACTTGGTAGAATGACAGAGAACCAGGGGACATCTCAGTGATGACTTCCTCTGCTGTTTTCATTTTAAAGGTAAGACTCAGATTAAGCATGTGACTGCTGACAGTAATCCCAACAGCAGGTGAACGTCAAATGTCAGGTGGAAAAATGAAAATACAGGGTTGTTAGGATGTGGAGGTGACAAGTACACTACAATTCTCTTAACTCTTGTGTGTGTTCACTTCATGTGTCTTCAATGCCTGTGACTCCTTGATTTAAAGGAGTTTAGTCTTAGAATTGAGCCTAATATGCTAAATATCTCCAAAACACAACATGAAATCCCAAATTTCCATTCTTAATAATTTTTGGTTTTAAAACAAACCTTCTTTTATGAATGAAAATTACTGATAGTTAAATGAGTTTTATCTTATTTATATTTTAGTATCTCAGTTCCTCATTTGATCAGATCTCTGGTGGTGTTAAGATGAACCAAACAGAATGTTTAACCATAAATGCCAAACCTTAACAAAAAAAATCATAGGTTGATAACATCTTAAAATTAGAAGAAGCCTTGGGAATCGTTTTGCAGTTAGGAAAACTATACTAACTTTACCCAAGTTACTCAGCTTGGTAGTAGCAAAGTTGGAATCGGAATCTCAGTTTCTGACACCCATTGAGAAATGTTATTTTCCATTTTAAGTGGGAGATTACCAGGGAAATGTTTGACATTTAAATTAATAATTCATATTAGCAGAAAAAGATGAAAAATGAAATTGTAAACTTTTTTTATTGGGAAGTTAGATATACAGAGGAGGAGAGGAAGAGAGGAAAACTCTTCCATCTGTTGATTCTCTCCCCAAGCAGCTGCAACGGCCAGAACTGAGCCGAATTGAGGATTCTTCCGGGTCTCCCACACGGGTGCAGGGTCCCAAGTCTTTGAGCCATCCTCCACTGCTTTCCCAGGCAACAAGCAGGGAGCTGGATGGGAAGCAGGGCTGGTGGGATTAGAACTGATGCCCATATGGGATTCCAGCATGTGTAAGGCCAGGACTCCAGGACTTTAGCCACTACGCTACCATGCATGTATTTTTTAGAGATGATTAGTAATCTATAGAGTGAATGAATAACACATTTTCTTTATTTAGTTATTAGTTGATTGTCATCTGGGTTTGTTTCTTATCTTGGCTAATGTGATTTGAGCTGCAGTAAGTTAATGTGTAAATAGATGTAAAATTTAATCTTTAATAAGTTAATGATTTTTGAAAATTTATTTATTTTTTAATCTGAGTGACACATTTTTACAGAGAGACAAGGAGAGACAGACGTTTTCCATTCTCTGATTCACTCCTTAGCTAGCCACAGTAGTAAGAGCTGAGCTGATCCAAAGTTGGGAGCCGCGAGCTTCTTCTTGGCCTCCTCTGTGGGCACAGCGGCCCAATGCCTTTGGCCATCCTTTGCTGCTTTCCTAGGCCGTAAGCAGGGAGTTGGATCAGAAGTGCAGCAGCTAGGATATGAACTGGCACCCGTATGGGATGCTGTTGCTTGCAGGTTTATGCCACTGTGCTGGCCCCAGTAAGTTAACTCTTTATATGTGAATAATATGTTAGGGCTTGGAAATATGGCCGTTCTGATCATTCATGCAAATCATATGCTTGTTATTCTTTCATTGAGGCTTTCCATATTCTTTCCACTAGGAAGAACAACGGAAAATAGAAGAAGAGAAAGAAAGGAAAAAAGAGAATGATGTGGTATTTAAAGCCTGGTTGCAAAAGAAAAGAGAGCAGGTTCTAGAAACAAGAAGAATTGAACGAGCAAAACAAATTGAAGACATGAACAGTAGAGTAAGTAAAAGTTTTCTATGGAAAATAACTTTATTCAGGTGTGACTTGACATATTTACAAGAGAGAATTTGAATATGAGTCAAAACCTGCAGAAATAATAAAGTGTCCTGAAACTATCTCTGTAAAAGATTTAACATGCAGGCCACAAGCAGGGAGCTGGATGGGAAGTAGAGCTGCCGGGATTAGAACCAGCGCCTATATGGGATTCTGGTGTGTTCAAGGCGAGGACTTTAGCCACTTGGCCACTGCACTGGGCCCTATTTATTTTTATTACAAAGTCAAATATACAGACAGAAGGAGAGGAAGATCTTCCGTCCGATGATTCACTCCCCAAGTGAGCGCAAAGGCCAGTGCTATGCCGATGCGGAGCCAGGAACCGGGAACTTCCTCCAGGTCTCCCACATGGCTTCAGGGTCTTGGTCCGTCCTCTGCTGCTTTACTGGGTCACAGGCAGGGAGCTGAATAAGAATGGGCGCCCATATGGGATTCTGGCGCATTCAAGGTGAGGACCTTAGCCGCTAGGCCACACTGCCCACTAATTCATTTTTTAAGGTCATTAACTTTGATCTTCAAAGATGTACATACAGATAACCACTCCCACTCCCGCTTTGCCCCCCCCCAGTCACAAAACCTGTCAACTGGTCACTTAAGATTAGGTGTATGAATGTCTTATGTAAAAGCTAGAAAATTAAAAATAATACATTATTTAATTTAAAAAAATTAGGTAAAATGCTACTCTGTAACCTTATTACTTAAAAAATATATATGTAAGATAAAGATAGAAAATTTATTCCTCAGCTCTTGAAGGCTAATCTTCACTGATAATCATGTTTGCAAAATGTGGTGCAGATTCTTGTATGTATTGTTTATGTTTACTGTGAGTTTCCTCTTCAGATACCTGATCATGGGCATTTTTTCAGGCCATTACATTTAGACCGTTCTTTTCTTAATGCTCCGTACTCCACTGTTTCTTAATTAATCAAGCCACATTTGCAGGTTGACCTTACTCCCAGCCCTTCTCCCGTTTAGGGTTGATGAGGTATCCTCACGGCGGTTGAGCCTCAGCTCTCACGCCCTGGAACCCTGCAGCCTCTCTCCCTTCACTGTCTACAGCAGCTGCTCTTTGCTGAAGTGCCTCCTTCTAAACATGCTCAAGCCACTTCTTGCCAAGACCAAATAAAGCCTCTAAAGATTTATAAATTCCGTTTTGGTGACTTCTTTTCTAACTATCCCAGCTATCCCAACATCTCCAAACCCCTCTCTGTTTCGTGAGCCCAGTAAAACTATTGTTACGTTACAGCTCCCTCTGCCTACACTGTGGTTAGGAAAGTTCTACCACGTACAGAGCCAGGGGCTTACAGCATGTTTTTTTCTTAGCAATCACAAATGCTATGCATATTTTATCTGGTTGTACACCTGATTATGGCAGAAGGAAAAGGTTGATATCCATTAATACCTTAAGACTACATACAGAAGTTCCCAATTCAAAGGTTTTTATTTTCTATTTTTGTTATAACCCCCAAATTTAATTGATTTGTAGTTATTTTTTGTTATTAATATTTAATTATATTCTGCTTTAAAATGTTTGCTTCTAATTTCTATTTTGATTTCTTTCATCTTTGACTTTCACACTTGTTATTTTCTGTTATAGTAACTCTGATGATAGACTTCTAAATTCTGCTGTGGTTTACTTTACGTTTAAAAAATGGATACCATTTAATCTTTATTCACTGATACGACAGAAAAAGGGGTCAGAACATAAAGTAGACATTGCTGTGTGTGACTCGGGCATCCTGAAGTGAGGGCTTAAACACTGTGGCAAGCATCTGCTGCCTTCTTGATGTTTTGAATTAAAAAAAAAATGTAATCTTTGCAAGGAATATTTAAAAAATATAGAGTATTTTAGATAAACAATACAAATGTGTAAGTTCAAAAGTCCAAGAGTACAAGAGAAAAAAAAATCTTTCATAGTTCCCCAGCAGGCAAATTCCTCTTTTTCAGTGGTGAGCAGTGCTTTTAGGTTTTTTTGGTGTTTTTCAAGAGTACTACACACACACACACACACACACACACACACACACACACTCTCACTCACACACACCCATATGTTAATTATATATTTACATAAAATATTTGGGCATAAAATTATTCTGCACATAGTAGTAGGTACTTCTGGTTTTTTTTTTTAAGATTTATCTATTTTTATTGCAAAGTCAGATATATAGAGAGGAGGAGAGGTTGAGAGGAAGATCTTCCATTCAATGATTCATTCTCCAATGACCGCAACAGCTTGAACTGCACTGATCCAAAGCCAGGAGCCAGGAGCTTCTTCCAGGTCTCCCACATGGGTGCAAGGTCTCAAGACTTTGGGCTGTCTCCGACTGCTTTCATAAGCAGGGAGCTGGATGGGAAGTGGTGCTGCCGGGATTAGAATCAGCACCCATATGGGATTCTGGTGCGTTCACAGTGAGGGTTTTAGCTACTAGGCCACTGCACCTAGCCCAGTAAGTTACAAATGTAACTTACAGATAATTTAATGTTGGGATATAGACAGACCTTTTAGTGTTCCATTGCATTGACACATCACAATTCACTTAATCATTCCCCCATTTATTAACATTACAGCTTTTCTAATTTTTGTTCTCACAAAAATACAACAGTAATTATACTTAAATATGTATTAATTTAAATAAAGGATATATTTGAGGAGAAAAAGGATTGCCTGATATTTCTTTTTAAGGTTTCGATGGAGATTGCTAAATTGTTTTCTGTAGATGTGTCCTTTAATGCTATCAGCAGTGTGTGAGCATTCCTGCATCTGCACCCTCATTAAGGAGTGTCCTTTCAAATGATTTTGTTTCTTTACCAGTTTGGTCGGTAGGAAACGTTGTCTGATTATAGATTTGTTACGAGTGAGACTGACACTGTTTAAATATTTCCATAGAAATAATCATCCCTGTGTCAATAAACAGGGACTCTTTATGCATTGTATAAACTAGCTTTTTGATAGATTAACTACATTTCTGTTTTCTTTTGTCTTTTGCCTCGGTATTCGTTTTTCTTTGCAACACAGAAATCGTGTTGATTCTTCCTTCAGAGCATATCCAGAATTCCTCCCCGTCTTTCTCGCCTTCGTTTCTCCTAACATGAACTTGTCCAGTTGTCTTAAGGTAGTAGTACCCGTCTTGATGACTGAGAGATCATGATGAAATAACCAAGTCCTATTCGCTTTTTTGTTGTGTCCAAGGTCATGATGGCTGTTACCTTTATGAGAAGTTTCCTGCTATTGAAAATCTTTGTGGCTGTGCTCCATAATAGTAGCTAAAATCTTGAAGATAGGCTTGGCAGTTAAGTAGCTTCTGACAGATGCTCTTAAGTCTTTATGAGCAAGATTGACATTCTGGGGTTTGATTATTGTGTACAGCCTTTGTTTAACTCCCGAGGAATAGTAGATGTCTTCTTTTTCTTATTTCCTATGCATATCTTTACATCCTGGAGTGTTAAGCCTGTGAGTATAAAGTGAAACAAAAGCATCCTACTGTAAAAGCTAGGGGGAAAAAGGACCTGGCACGGTGGCGCAGTGGTTAAGGTCCTCGCCTTGAATGCACCCGGGATCCCATATGGGCGCTGGTTCTAATCCCGGCAGCACCGCTTCCCATCCAGCTCCCTGCCTGTGGCCCGGGAAAGCAGTCGAGGACGGCCCAAAGCTTTGGGACCCTACACCTCCTGGCTTCGGATTGGCTCAGTTCCAGCCGTTGTGGCCGCCTGGGGAGTGAATCATCGGATGGAAGATCTTCCTCTCTGTCTCTCCTCTCTATATATCCGCCTTTCCAATAAAAATAAAATAAATCTTGAAAAAAAAAGTTAGGGGGGAAAAAAAGAGAATGACAAATGTGGGGAATGCTGGCAGGAGGGATAGTAGGGTGAGGAATATTGCTGTGCTCCTGAATTTGTGCTGTGAAATACATAAAATTGTCCACTTTGCACATATTTAAAACAATAATTGGCATAACAATTGTATTTTTTAAAATATAGCATAAAGAGCTCGGAGATAAATCCATGCATTTGCAGCCAGTTCTTACCAAAGTTACCCAGAACACACGATGAGGACCATTTCTTCAAAAAATGATGTTGGGGGCCCGGCGCGGTGGCGCAAGTGGTTAAAGGTCCTCGCCTTGCACGCCCGGGATCCCATATGGGCGCCGGTTCTAATCCCGGCAGCCCCGCTTCCCTTCCAGCTCCCTGCCTGTGGCCCGGGAAAGCAGTCGAGGACAGCCCAAAGCTTTGGGACCCTGCACCCATGTGGGAGACCAGGAAGAGGCTCCTGGCTTCGGATCGGCATAGTATCGGCCCGTTGCGCTCACTTGGGGAGTGAATCATCGGACGGAAGATCTTCCTCTCTGTCTCTCCTCTCTGTATATCCGCCTTTCCAATGAAAAAATAATAAAAAAATAAATCTTCAAAAAATGATGTTGGGAGAAGTGAATAACAACATGCAGAAGAATTAAATTTGATCCTTATATGTACACAAAGCCCACTCAAAATGTGTCAAAAAGACCTGTGGTATGGAGTAGCAAATTAATAAGGTGAACCAATTTGAGTCCTGGCTGCCCTACTCTGATCTAGCTCTCTGCTGATGTTTGTGGGAAAGCAAGAGAATGATTCCGCTGCTTGGCCACCCACAGGGCCCCCTGGAAGAAACTCCCAGCTCGGGGTTTCAGCGGAGCACAATCCCCAGCCATTGGGCAGTGAAGCAGCAGATGGAAGATCTTTCTCTTTCCTGTTGCTACTACCTCTGTAACTCTACTTTTCAAATTAATAAAAAATCTTTCTCTTTAGAAAGATTTATTTATTTTTATTGCAAAGTTATAAAAAGGAGAGACAGAGGAAGATCTTCCGGCCACTGATTCACTCCCTAAGTGACTGCAATGGCTGGAGCTGTGTCGATCTGAAGCCAGGAGCCAGGAGCCTCTTCTGGGTCTCCCATGTGGGTACAGAGTCCCAAGGCTTTGGGCTGGCCTTGACTGCTTTCCTAGGCTACAAGCAGGGAGCTGGATGGGAAGCAGGGCCACTGGGATTAGAACCAGTGCCCTATGGAATTCTGGTTCATTCAAGATAAGGACTTTAGCTGCTAGGTCACCACGCCTGGCCCTAAAACACTTAAATACAAAGTTAGAATTTTAAAGATAAAGTATAAGTAATACAAGTACTGGGACAATTGTTTACAAATTATTTCATGGATCTCCTTCTGGAATTATGACAAAAATCTCAATCCCATGCATACTACCTATGGCTTGCCTTTCTTCAGTCTGAGAAACAGGGTCCACTGTTTCTCAGGTCAGCAGAGAGAGATGACAACAACTCCACCTTAGCAAAAGGAGCCTGTCCCATTGGTGGGGGCCATAAGGGGAGTAAATCAGCATGGTCTCCATGAAGTAATGTAGTTATTCTTCCCTCCCAGCCCCCTAGCTGTTGGTAGCCAGGCTGGACCCAATGCCAATTCTCCCTCAGTCAAAGCTGCGTCTCAGGTTGCTGGGGAAGACGGTGTTTCCCAGCCAGGCGCCAGCTGTGCAGGAGTTGCTGATGTGGAGTGGCCGGTGGCTGGCTGCCTGGTGTCTGTTCCCACCACCCTCACAGTCTGTTTTGTTATGTCTGTTTTCCACTCCAAATTCCTCTCAATCAGTTCTCTGGAAATGTGGTGCATTTTTTGTTTGTTTGTTTTTTGTTTTGTTTTTCTACAGTCTGTCTGTGACTGAAGTCAGTTTGACTTCTTCTTCAGCCACCTTGGATCTTCCAAGCAAAGTTATTTTGTTTGAAAAGTGGCTGCACTTTGAAAAGTGTGAAAATCAGGCCCGGCGGTGTGGCTTAGTGGCTAAGGTTCTCGCTTTGAATGCGCCAGGATCCCATATGGTCGCCGGTTCTAATCCCAGCAGCTCCACTTCCTCTCTGTCTCTCCTCCTCTCTGTATATCTGACTTTGTAATAAAAAAATAAATCTAAAAAAAAAAAAAGAAACAGAAGTGTAAAAATCATTGCTTCTAGACTTTCTTACTTACTAACATTATTATTATTATTATTTAAAGAATTATTTTATTTTTATTACAAAGTCAGATATACAGAGAGGAGGAGAGACAGAGAGGAAGATCTTCTGTCCGATGATTCGCTCCCCAAGTGAGTGCAACGGCCAATGCTATGCCGATCCAGAGCCAGGAACCAGGAACTTCTTTTGGGTATTCCACACGGGTTCAGGGTTCCGAAGCTTTGGGCCATCCTCGACTGCTTTCCCAGGCCACAAGCAGGGAGCTGGATGGGAAGTGGAGCTGCTGGGATTAGAACCGGCACCCATATGGGATCCCGGATGCATTCAAGGCAAGGACTTTAGCCGCTAGGCCACGCCGCTGGGCCCAGCCTAGTTTTTGAAAGGATCTAGATGCCAGTGAGCTTGGTGTTCACGGAAGGGTAAATAATCTCTGTTGTTGATTCAGGGTGGTGCATTTGGTTTAAATACTAGGAGTTTAGATAAGTTGGTATTAGGAAAAAAATTAATGCACCGGAAATATATTCTGTTGGATATAATAGACCTCTCTGAGGGCTTTTCGAGGTAGTTTTGTTTTGTCTAAGTTAAGCAAAATCTGTTTTTCTAATTAGCAGGAAAATAGAGATCCACAGCAAGCCTTTCGATTATGGCTTAAAAAAAAACATGAAGAGCAGTTGAAAGAAAGAAAGACAGAAGAACTGAGAAAGCAAGAGGAATGCTTATTCTTTCTTAAAGGAACAGAAGGCCGGGAGAAGGCCTTTAAACAGTAAGTGGAAGCAGAAAAATTGTAAAACCTTTCCATGTAGTCCTTTTGCAAAGTCTTATGATCAATAAAGGCTGGAAAAATATTCTAAATATTTCTTTTTCTGTTACAGAACATATTGTTCAACTTATAATATATGCTTTTCAAAAATGTATAATTCCTAAACTTTACAGTAAACACATATATACTATTTTCCTTTTATTTACTCTTCAGTGCTGAAAGTATTTCTTATGATATTCATGTGCCAACCTATGACATCTTACCATTTTCTTTGTTTAGTTGCTTATTTCTTACAATAATAGAACAAAGATTCATTATGACTTTTCCTTCATAGCTCTCAGAAAAAGTGAATTAAGGGTTCAATTTACCAATACATGTTTTTTTATTCTTTTTTCTGTAAAAAATGGTAGATTGGATGGGGAAGGAAATTTTTTTAAAATAATGATTACAGGGTTTATCAGGGTGGGAAGGATCGAGGTTTAGGGAAAATTGGGTGACTTCATTGCTTCCAAATTTGCTATTTCTTCTTGTAGTTTCTGGGGGAAGGGGAGAGACAAAGGGGTAAACCACTCATGACTTCCTGCACGTCCCAGTGCCCAGGGATGAGGAATTGCCACCTTATGTCAACTCAGAGCCTCAATGTGTGCATGTTCCGAGGGTTCTGTCCAAGTGGTTTGGATAGTTCTGAAATGCTGCCGATTTCACCGATCTGAGGATGATGTCACCCTTCCCATGCCCATTGGCTCCATTCACCGAGATTTTTTTGCTGTCATCGTTTGTTTGGGTAGTTGTCCAGTTCTGTTCTTCTGCTACATGACCAAATGTGCTGCCATATTCTGCTTTTACAATGGACCTGTATTCACTGCTCCACCTTTTTCATTAAGTAGGGCATGTTCTTGCAGGCAAGTCCTAGTACCTGTACCTGGTGTCCCAAACATCACTGGATTTCCCACCCTGGGGCTCATGAACCCGACATCTACCTAGTGGGTGGGCCACAGAGCCTGGGACAGGAGACCCAAACCCCACTGAATCTCCCACCTCTGGGGCTCATAAACCCAGTCCCCATCTTGCAGGTAGGCTCCAGGACCCAGGCCAGGTGACCTGAGCCCTGCTGGATCGCCCACCCCTGGGGCTCACGAACCCGGCATCCACCTAGTAGGCGGGCTTTGAAGGACCTGAGCCATGATATCCATGCCCCGCCAGGTCCCCCACTCCTGGGGTTCAGTTCACAAAACCAACACCCACCTAGAAGGCAGGCCTCAGGATCTCGGCCAAACAACCCACACCCCACTGGTTCCCTTGTCCCTGGGGCTCAGGAAACCATCCCCTGCCTCAAAGGTGGGCCTTATGACCTGGGTCAAGCTACCTGAGCCCTGTCATATCCCCCGTCCTTGGGACTCACATACCCAGCCCCTGCTGGGCCCAGACGGACAACTCACCTCACCTTAGCATTCACAGTCTTATTACACAGCCTGACCTAGTCTAGTCTAGCCTGCCCCCTGTTCCAGCTCCTGTTGGTGGGTGATGCAGTCTATTTCAGCCAAGCCTGGTTGCTGTCCCAGTTCTATTGTGAACTGGCTGGTGTTGTGGCCTGATCTGGCTCCTCAATCCCCCTGTCTTGGTTCTCAGATTTGCCAGTGGATGTTATGTGCTGGTTCAGACTAGTCTGTTCCCAGATCTGACCTACAAGTATGTCGGCAGGTACTGTAACCTGACATGATCTGGGCTGCTCCTTGCCTTACTGCTTGTGCTCATCTGCAGGGTCTGCATCCCACTGAAGGAGTTTCTCAAGCTCCTCCATGGAGTCTCCTCCCAGGGGCGTTCTTGCACACGCCAGTGGGCCGTTGGCCCAGGTTGCCTTTGTCCACTTCCTGACCTGCAAGAACAGTGGCCTCGTTCAACTGGCCACACCCATTCTGGTTCTTGATGTTGGGTGTTGCAGCCCAGTGCTACCTGGTCCGCGCCCAGACACAGCTTTCACGTAGTTCAGCGGGAATCTAGACCTAGTCTGGCCTGTTCTACACCCAACCTGACTCTCATAAGTACCAATGGGGGTTGGAGTCAAGCTCAATCTGTCGCTCCACCGTCCCAGTGCACACGACGCCTATATGGTCTCTAACTATGTACAACCATGCCTGCTCTTGTTCTCACCAGTGGGAACCCCAGCCCAGCTGGAGCACCCCATTAATCCCCAGCAAGGCCTAACCCCATCCACAGTTCTTGGGTGAGCCATCAGAGATTGTGGTTCCACAGGGGTGAGCCCATATTGCCCCCACAAATTCTGCTGTCAGACCCACATCTCTCACTCTTGTTCTCCCCTCCAACCACTTTGGTGTTGGTTCCCTAAATACATATATATGTCGTGGACTTATCAATGGAAGTCCCTCAGCTGTAATTCCTCTTTCTCTTCCACCTTTTTTGATCTCTTTTCTCTCTTAAAATAAAACCTTTTATTATAGCAGAAACAGCAAATGTGTATTACGGAAATCAAAGAGCTTGAGCTCATATTTTCATCCTTTAGACACCATGACTGCTAGCACCTGGGTGCATAGGTTCTGTGTATCTGTAGGTGTATTTGTAATTTTAAAATATAATTTATGTGGCAATTTGAATCATTTCATTCGTATGTCAATAGAATGTGCAGCCCATATGCATCTTTATCTTTCGCTGACCTACAAATGACTTAGTTATTTCACTTAAACTAATAACTAATTCAGAACTATATAACATTCTGATGTTTCTAAAATCTGGACTATTCTATGGCAGTTATGTATTTATAAAGAAATCCTTATATTTATGTGTGTGTGTACATCAAATATATATATATATAGTAATTTTTGTATTATTTTAAATAAGAAGACCTTATAGTCTTAAATTTGTAGATGATGGATTCTTCTTTTGCTAACTTCAGGTTTTAGGGATATTTTTTCATTTTAAGGAAGAACTATTGCATGAACTGAAAAGCAAGACATCTATAATTTCTCTACTAAGAAGAGTAAAGCTGCTGTTTTTTAAGATACTTTTTGCAATTTTTAAAGATACTTTTGCAAATTTTTGAAATAACATTTTTAGTGATCTTCCTGTAGTCAAAGGTTTAGCACTCCAGTCAAGAAGCATGAGTAACTATTGTTTTAAGTTACAACTCGATTCAAAGAATAAGTTATTTGGAATCTGTAAAATAAGTTGTCTATTTAGAAAAGTATATTTCTTCAAGAAGATAGTACTTATAGCACATGTAAAATACTATCTCCGTTACTGAAAAAAAAAGTCAAATTGGCAGCTTTACCATACAATAAACTTAACTTCAATATTTGATCCTAAATGCAGCTGTGCTGTCTTGTGTAAGCCTGACATTTCTCAATTAATACTTTTGTCATGTATGCTGTGCCAGTGTTTGCATGTGAGAAATATTGTCAGTTACCTTTAATTGTCTGTAGAAAAACCTAAAAATGAAAGTAGCACAGGAAGTGTGTAAAGGTTGATACCACTTAATCTGATCATGCCTCTCTCTACAGATGGCTAAGAAGGAAACGGATAGAAAAAAGAGCAGAGCAGCAGGCAGTCAAAGAGAGAGCGCAACAGCTCCGCCTGGAGGCAAGACGTTCTAGACAGTTACAGAACCACCTGTACAATATGTCCGAAGCCAAGTGTTTTCGTTTTACTGATCATTACAACTGAAGATACCCGTCTATGGAATATTTTATGTGGCAGCTGCTATCATCAGGATTTTGTATATCATTTCTTATTGCCTGTGTGCGTTGCTTATATTTTAAATTATGGAAATGATATTTATGTTTTGGTGTTAACAGTGACTTTATGGCTCTTAAAATACTCTAGAACAAAATAAACTTGTCTTACAGTGTTGGAATGTGTTGTGCCATCTCTTATCCTGTGCAGCAAATTGAACAGAGGAACCCTCTGTTCTGTCCTTCTGCTTCTCAGTTGCTGTATTAAGATTCCTCCCTGGAAAGAACATAAGAAAGGGCAGATTTCTGCTCATTGTTTCAGTATCACTCAGAACAACTGCGACAGACAATTTCATAAGGCAAGAGGAGTGACTTCTTAAACAAGCCTTGGTCCAAGCCTCATACAAATGTCTGTTTATGTCAATTTGGAACTCAAATAGATGTGGCAAGCTAACCAATTAGATAGTCCTAATTTTACCTGTCATTACAGAGAGAGAGAGAGAAACATCTATACATAAACATATACACAGAAATAAGTGTATATAATACTATTTTAAGTATGTTATAAAATTAAGTTTTATTGATAGCTATAATGCGCATGGTATGATTTTGAATGGTGTGAATAAATGACATAATCCTAAGACCACACTATCAGTCTTGTTTCGCTTTGAATAAACTATAGTATATGAGCATGGGAGCAGGCAATTTGTTTATACAGATTCTGATCTGCAGGGTTGCAGGATCCTTTGTTTCAGTTATATTGTATAACTTATGTTCCTGAGAGAAATATATGAAATATTTACAATTATACAGGAACACAGTGTATGTAGGCATACTCCCTTTGTTATGCCTAACAGCATGAAATTGGTGGAAGACAAAGATAAACATTGCAGTGTGATGAAGAATCAGGGTCAGCATGGCTCAATTGGCTAATCCTCCCCTTTGAAGCACCAGGATCCCTTATGGGTGCTCATTTGTGTCCCAGCTGCTCTACTTCCCATCCTTTTCCCTGCATGTGGCCTGGGAAAGCAGTGGAGAATGGCTTCGTGTCTTGGGATCCTGCATCCGTGTGGGAGACCCAGAAGAAGTTCCTGGCTCTTGGCTTTGGTTTAGAGCTGTGTTCCAGCTGTTGCGGGCATTTAGAGAGTGAACCAATGGAATGGAAACTCCTTCTCTTGGTCTCTCCTTCTCTCTGCAAATCTTTCTTTTCAATGAAAATAAAGAAGTCTCGAAAAACAGTAGAGTCACTGTGAGAGTTCTGTTAAAGCTTCGGAAGAAAAGGTTTTTCAATTCAATATTTTTGCCTTAATCACTTGACCTTAAATTAGAAAGCAGAGAACCATTCCTGCTCTCTCAAGTTCTGTTAGCACTTTGCACATGCATCAGATGATGTAACATCTTGTTGTAACTGATCTTATGTCGCTTCCGTTTGTCCTGTAGAAAACAGCCGATTTGATATGAAAATACATAGTACGCAACAATGTAGCCCTGAGCTAGCAAATTCAAATACTTGCTTCATGTGTAAGAACATATAGGAAATAGTTGAACATCTCCATCTGTCCTTATCTGAAGTGAATTTTATTGTACTGAATTTTTTTTTCAGGAAATATTTTGGACTTAAAAAGAGGTGAGAGTGGGCTAGCATTGGGGCATGGTGGATGAAGTATTGGCTGTGATGTCAGTATGCCTTATGGGCACCGATTCCTGTCCTAGCAGTTCCACTTCAATTTCAGCTCCTCTGTACTGACTTGGGAAAAGCAGTTGAGGAAGGTCCAAGTGACTGTGCCCCTGATGCTCTTGACTTCTTTGTGGCAGCCCTAGAAGGAGCTCCTGGCTCCCAGGTTTGGCCTGGCTCTGGGCCAGCAGTTGTGCCAATCCAGAGAATGTGCCAGCAGGTGCAAGATCGGTCTCTACCTCTCACTCTCCAATTCTGACTCCCAAGATGATTATTTAACAAAAAGGGAAGGAGGTTGGAAAAATCTAGTCTTGGCTAATTTGGAGAGCTGGATGAAATAAACTATTAGAGGGATAATGAAATAAATTTTGAAATGATATCAATATAGATGATTCTTGATACGATGCAAGTAGTACTGTGTTGTAGGATAGCTAGAATAACAGAAATTAAAATCATGCTTCACTGGCCTAAAGTTATTTTCCTTAACTTTTTCTTGTTGAGGTGAAGTTCACACAATTTAAACATTCTAAAGTATAATTTGGTGTCATGTAAACCATTTCACTACCCAAAAAGAAAATTTGATATTTCTTAGCAATTACTCCCTAATTATTTCTTATGCAGTCCCTGGAAAATATTATGTTCTTTGTTATCTCTATGAATTTAATTATTTTGGGTATTTCCTATAAATTAAACTATACAATATGTGACATTTTATTTCTGGTATTTTTCATTTGCACGCTAGTTTCAAGGTTCATTCACACTGTACTTTATTGCTTTTTAAAGATGTTATATGTGCATATATAGTACATATACTGTGTTTTGTTATCAGTTGATGAACATTTGTACACTCTCCAACTTTTGGCTGTAGTGCCTAGTGCTCTACGAACATTCACATACAGACATTTGATCACTTATTTTTGTTTTTCTGGGGTATGTGTATATGAGAGTGGAACTACTGTGATGCCCCGATGTACCTTCTTGAGAGAATCCTGGCAGAAAAGCCATCTTCAGACTCAGGAATGTACTGCGAAGCTTGGCCAGGAGAATTGTTCATCCATCCTCTGACGAGGTATTTGACATCCCCTCCTGGCTCAGATGAGCTGGCTGTCCTGTACTCCATGTGCATCTGGACATGTCATCCGCTGCACAGGCATCAACTGATGAGGCCCAGTCCCGATACATGCACTCCAGGATTGGACCACACATCCTGTGATTTTCCCTGTGGTCAGGGTCTGATTTTAGCAATTCGGTCAGAGAATTCTCCAAGACACCTCACCTGGGATGACCTCAGACTTGACCTTTATGTTCACCAGCCAGCGCAGGATCAGGTGTGGTCTGTCACCTGCAACAACCAATGCACACACCAGTTGGTGCAGTTTGGTCAGTTCCACCTCAGCCACATATCTCACATGAACAGGTGCTGTGCCCCAGCCAGGAGAGCCCACCACAAACTGGGTCCTCACATACAAGCAGGTGCTGTGGCCTAGTCAGGGCGACTCCCAATAACCCCTACCAGACCTGCCCATAGTTCCGATTCTTGCATGTGCCAGTCTCTGTTGTGACCTAGCCCAACCCAACCCAGCCAACATTGTCTGGCTCTGGTGTAGACCTACAGGAGCTGCAGCTGGGTTCAGTCCTCCCTGCCTTCAGTCCCAGCCCTCATGTATGCTGATAGATGTATGCCTTGTCCAGCCCAGGGTGCCTCCTGTCCTGGTTCTTGTGCCCAATAGCGATAGGTACAGCCTAGCAGGAGAGTGCTCACAGTTCCCCTCTCAGGCATGTTCCCAGACATGGAACTTGTGTGCCAGGGGGTGCTGTGGTCCAGCCTGACAAGACATGCATCCAGTCCTGGCACTTGCAAGCTGGTGCTGTGGCCTAACTCTTGTGCATGTAGCAGTGTAGTAACCCAGCTCAGCCTGGCCCTCCCTCAGGTCAGCATACCCTCAGTGTCATCTCTCATGCTCACCAGCAAGGGAGTCCCTGAAGTTTCCCTACCAGGCCCACTCCCAGCCCTGGGTGCTGCATATGCCAGCAGCTGCTGTAGCTTAGACTGAGATGGCCCATTCCCAATCTTAGTATTCACTAGCAGGTGCTACAGCATAGCTTAGTACAGCCTGTTCCTAGTCATAGCTCTTGCCTGAAGGTGTAGCAGCCTAGCCAAGCCTGGCCCAATCCCAGCCCTCATGTGAACTGGCAGGTGTTGCAGTCCAACCTGCCTGAGCTGCACCCTGTTTTAGCTCTCATGCCAGTGTGTGCTGTGAACTCACCTTGCGTGGCCTACCCCCAGATGTATGCATGTGCCAGTGGGTGCTGTAGTCCAGCCTGGTCTAGCCTGTTCCCAGCCCTGGCTGTTACACTCACCATTAGGAGCTGTTCCTAGCACGGGAGTTTCCCAAGTTTCCACCAGCCTACTCCTAGCCCTGGATCCCACTTGCACTGTCAAGTGCTACTGTCGAATGCTGCTGTCCAGGGTGAAGTGACTGGCCCCCAATCCTTGCACTCACTGGTAGATACTATGGCCTAACCCAACTGGCCTGCACCCATTCTGGCTTTCACCAAAGGATGCTACAGCTTGTCCCAGCCTGGTCCAACCTCAGATCTGGCAGTTTAGCCTGACCTGTCCTACACCAATTCTCACTCTTGTAAGAACCCATGGGTGCTGGAGCCTAGCTGAGTTTTAACTCCAGATGCAGCTAATGGGTGCTGCAGCCTTGTGCAGCCTAGTCCACCCATAGTCCTGGCTCTTACCCTTACCAGTGGGAGTTGCAGCCCAATAGGTAGTTCCCAGAATTCCCGTACTAGGCCTATTCCCAGTGCCAGGTCTTGTGCCTGCTGGTGGATGCTTTGACCCAGCCTGGCATGGTCTACCCACAGTTCTTTCTGCTGGGTGTTGCAACCCAGCCCAGCCTAAAGGAGATCCTTGTCTTCATTCGCATACTTTCCTGTGAGTGCTAAGACAGGTGGTTTCCTGTCAGGTGGGTTCTATAATCCATTTGGCTCAATCCTTCACTTTCCCTGGCTTTCAATGTAAATTGCTGCAGTCCCACAGAGGCGACTCAACAATTCCCCTACAGAATCTGCCCCCAGATCCAGGTCACTCATGTTCTGGTGGGTGCTGCAGGCCAGCCTGACATGGCCTACCCCCTGCTTCAACAGTCATGGTGGGTACTGTGGCCTAACCCAGCCAGGCATGCCTCCCAACTCCAGATTTTGTGAGCACCAGCAGGCAGCAGGTGGTGCTATTTAGCCCAGTCCAGGGCTTATATGTGGACAGGTACCTGGGCCTGATCTGGACATGCCCTTTGGTTTCCCACCTCTGAACCACTCCTCAGCTGTCTTGCCTACATATGGGTGCAGTGGCCCAGGGTGTGGAAGACTCCAGAAATCATTCGTTCCTTGTCAAACATGCCCTCAGCCATTCCTACTCCAACCTGTCCATTACCCCCTTCCCTGGGCAATCTGCAAGCCTCCTCTCCCTCCTCCCCTCTACCTGGGGGCCTGGGTGACATGTCTTGGCCTGAAGTTCTCTGCCTTCTCAGTTTATCTGAAAAAAGGAAAAAGAAAAAAGAATAAACAACTATGTTGGCACACTGGTATAGTTCAACACAAATTTGGTATTAACCAGGTCCAGAATATCTGCCAGCCATCAGCTGCTTTTCTCCCAGTAGTGTCAGCAGTTGCCTAGGTAAAAGGAAATCTAGGCCATTGCTTACAGCTGGAGGGAAGTTTCTAATTTTGATGACGCTTGATTCATCTGTCCCCAACCCCCCCGTTACTCATTATTTTGCTGTCACAGCTAAGTATCCATTGCTGAACTTAAAGGCATGAAAACTCAGCTCTATATTTTCTTCTAACAGTATCATAGCTGCAGTTTTTATATTTAGTTTGTTGATACATTTAATCTGTTTTTACACACTATAAAAATTGATTTTCCTTTTATATTCTTGCATTACTTCACATTGGACACAAGATGT